CATGCCACATTTTATGGCCCAAGTCCTTGTTTTTTTGTGACTGGCCAGGCCAACGGAGCAAACTTGCCCATGGCCAGCCCTACAGTCTAATTTCTCCCTGGATGATTGGCCTGCCCAATCAATTTGTGGTTTCAAGCACTCATTCAAAGGTAAAAAAAAGAAACTCAACTTTTCATTGATTTATATGGTCTTTCAAGGCCTTGATACCAAGTTTCCTTAACTCTAGGGGAAGTATGGACCCGAAAGGGATCCATGTGACTAGCCGGGTTTTTGTGGTCTGGGTCCAGAAATGGTATTTATAGTCTTAGAACCCCAAACTATTGGGTTTGGGGCTAGCTCAACTATTGCCATGAGAGTTTAATCCCTCAACTGAGGTTGGCGTGTGGCCCATGGTCATTACATGTCCAAAGCATTAGTGGATCAATGTGGATTATAGTGTATATTGTGGATCTTTCTTGATTATTGTTCATGCTATAGATCTCTATCCCATGGTCATTACATGGCCAAAGCATTAGTGGATCAATGTGGATTATAGTCTACACTGTGGATCTTTCTTGATTATTGTTCATGCTATAGATCTCTATGGATTACCAAGGACTACTGTACATATGTGTGGGGAGGCTTAGCTTGATTGGGCAAGGATCAAATCACTGTCATTAACTAACCCATACCATGTGTATATGACCAAACCCATAGGGGAATCTACCCTTTCTAAGTGATCTACAAGAAAGGGGTCATGCACATGTATTTTAGAGGTTGATGCCCGAGTCTTTGTTTTTGGGGGTGCACTTGCAGACCACTTTGATCCAAAAACCCAACTATCTATTGGTTGATTTTGACGGAACAAGTATTAACCTCAGCTTAAGACCATTGATCATGAGTACCTTTGGCCAAATTTAAGATAATAGTCGAGGTTCGGGGTAAGATGAGTAGGGTACCCAACATATTCAAACCACATAAAACGTTAAAATAAGCCGTTTTTTTTTTCGTTATTTTTTGTGAGATTTATAGAAATTTTTTAAGCCTAAAATTAGCTAGAAAATTTATTTTGGAGAATTTAAAATAAGAGCAAATAGGGTGTCAACACACATGTGAGGCCCAAATAGCCAGTCGGCTACTTATATATACAAAGGAGACCCATACGTGGTCCCCATTGTTCCATCATGTGGATAATGTCGTCATGATGTCACCAAGGTGTTACTATTCCTAAAGGCATGTTTGGTAGGACATATAAAGTGTTTTCGTTGATTGTGTTAGTTTAATTGGCACATGGGTGTATTGGTATATCTCCTAAATGTTGAGCTCATCCGGTTAAGCCCTCTCGTGAAATTGCAGATGCGCACAGTAGAATCCAGATTCAGGACAAAATACACCAAACGTTCCTGTGTGTATGAGTGAAAATAGCAAGCAATAAATAAATAAATAATAAATTAATAAATACATATCAAATTTATATCATTCACCTCCACAAAAAAAGAAAAGAAAAAAGATTAGATTCACTATTGAAAAATAATAATTATAAAATCATCCAAAATGTAAATTTTTTTTGGGCTTTTTGATTTTTTCTAAAGACTTCTCTTCTCTTGTATTTCTATCTTTGAGGTTTTGTCTCTCTCACAATCATTTTTTCCCTATCTCTCTTTAACAAGCTTTTCTATCTATTTTCTACTTCTTTCTAATAAGAATGATGACTTTCTCTCCATTCTTCTTCTTCTCTCTGAGGCTTTTTGCATCTCGCAGTAGAGAAGCACACCCCAGAAGAGGATCAAGTGATTAAAAAGCAACTCCTCTCTCTCTCTAAAAGATAAAGAGACTCTTTACAACCCGACGACTCACGTTGCTTTATCCTTGGATAGCCATCTCTTTGACTTGCGTCGCAAATCAATATTATAAGTTTCTAAGATTGCGCAAAAATTGTGGAAGTCTTCCCACATGGGACAAACCTTTCCAATTGTCTTGCGCAAAAAATTGTGGAAGTCTACCCACATGGGACAAACTTTTTCAATAATCTTGCCCTCCTGTCCCATGGGGGAGCATCTCCTTTGTAGATTGAAGGAGCTCAGATGGCACCCATGCCAGCCACACTTCTGCACAACTCCTGTTTGTCTCTGGCCAAGGTCTCTCTAGCAACAACTTCTTTTCAAGAGCATCCTAAATTCAATGGTAACGCATATCAATGTGCTTCATCCTTGAATAAAAACTATCATTCCTTGAATGAAAACTATCATTCTTATTCAAGTGGATAACGCTTTGACAATCACAATGGACGATATACATGTCATGTTTCAAGCCCAAGTCCCAGAGAAATCTCTACATCTATGTCATCTTCTTTTAGTCTTATGTGACGACAATGTACCATGCCTCTTTGCTCGACAGAGTCGCACACTTATGCAGTTTTGGCTGTCATGAAACAACTCCCCTATAAAAGTAAACATGTATCCCTAGATTAACCTCTTAGAGTTTAGAGTTTAGAGTATATATGTTCAGCCATGTTTGCATCTGTGTACTCTTACAACATATGTTTACTTCCTCCAAAGTACAAACATACTCTGAATATTCTTCTGAGATATTTAAAAATCCAGTTGATTGCTGCCCAGTATTCTTTGTCAAGATTAGTGATGAGTCTGCTCACTGCGTCAAATGTGTGTATGATATAAAGCCTCGTAGACACCATGACGTATATCAAACTTCCTACAGTCAACGCATAAGGTACTTTCAACATTTACTCCTCATTCTCATTTGAATGTCTTTGCTTGGCACTTAATTTGAAATGGCTTCCAAGTGGGGAACTGACAGGTTTTGCTTTGAACCTTTTGAACACTTTTTCAATATACCTTTCTTATGACAACCATAGCTTCCCAACCTTCCTGCCTTCCTGTCACAAGAGATCTTCATACCCAAGATCTATTGAGCAGGTCCAAAGTCTTTCATGGTAAAAGCATTGCTCAACTCTTCTTTCAACCTATCAATTTTGTTGATATCCTAATCGACAATCATCATGTCATCAACATACAAAAAAAAGATTATGAAATTACTGTAAGAGAACTTATTAACGAACACACAATGGCATGAGGATATCCTCTTGTAGTTTCTGTCTTATATTTTAATATATGCATGGACATGAGAAAAAAATGAATTTCAAGTTTTGGAAGTAGTGTATTTTATAATGTATTTTTGGACTGCCAATTTCGAGATTTTCAAGTTTTCATAGATCTGTCGATGTACACTACTTTTGAAGATTTAAACTTTATAAATAAAGATGAAAATATATTTTAAGGCTATCACAAAGATTTCCAACATTGAAACCACATTTCTCAACACTATTTGAAGGTAGGCTCTAATTTGATTGTTTAGAGCCTAGGCTCCATACAAACCGCACCATAAGGTTGCAACATTAAACAATCCAATTAAGGCGCACCTCCAAATTTTATCTGTAATTTTGGTATAAAAAATTCTTAGGATTGTCTCAAAATCTATTTTTATATCTAATTATAAAATTTTAAATTCCAAGAATGGTTAAAATCAAGTAGATCTATAAACTTATGAAAGTTTTGAAAATGGCAATCTAGATAAGGTGTTGCAAGATGCATTATTTCTGGGACTCAAATCTTCATTTTTTTTTTTTTTTTGTGTTTTCATATTCATACATTTCAATTTCAAGATAATCAATTAGAGTTTCAACATTTAAACAACCTTTTTTTTATGAAATTTTGAGGTGCATCTTTATTTCTTCATTTTAAGGTTGCAAATTTATATAAACGTTTTTCTATATATACATATAATGATAAAAAAAAACTTTGAAAATTGTGGAGGTATTTTGATTTATTGAATTATTTTTATCATAATTTTAAAGGTATTTTGATCATTTATTTTATTGAATTATTTTTATCATAATTTTAAGGGTATTTTGATCATTTTATTTTATTGAAGTATTTTTATCATAATTTTTAATTTTTACAGGTGTATGATTGTGAGAAGTATTGAATTATTTTATCATAATTTTTAATTTTTACAGGTGTATGATTGTGAAAACTATAAATGCCAAAACTTGAGCTTAATCTGCTATATAGAAAAGAAAACAAGTAAACAATAATATGGATTATAAAAAAGTAAGACTTGAGCGTAAAATATAGAATGTAGGGGAATATTTTTAAATTCCAATAATAGAATGGGATTTTCCATAAATTCCCCGTTAATTTACAATATGTCATGTGGATGAATTTGCTTATAAAATTCACATATAAATTATATACTTAATTAATACGTTGTCTATATAGTTCAATGCATTCTTATTTCCTTGTATGTCACTGTATTTTATGTAATTGCATATTCATGTTAATATTTTGAATAATAACCATGAGAAAAATGCATTCTTATTTCCTTGTATGTCACTGCATTTTATGTAATTGCATATTCTTGTTAATATTTTGAATAATAACCATGAGAAAAAGATTACCTCAGGTAACAGACCAGAAGCATACAACCCAAAGACAAAAAAAATGAGGAAAAAAGCAGAGGAAAACGAAGGTGAGCAATGAGATAGTATTCCATAATCAATGATCCACCCCATTTCTCAATCTAGTTTGAGCATTTTGTTGCAATTATCTTCTCTTTGCACACGGAATAGGAGACTGGCTCATGATAATGTTAGTGAGCCTCCAGGAGTAATCTAACCGCATTGGCTCATCTACTAAAGTTCATGAATCGTTAGTAAAAAGGGACTTGAAGTGGAAACCAACTTTTAAGTGCAGTCAAGAGTTCTCCTTTCAGCTTCAGTAAAATTACAAGTTTGAATAGGTCCTGCATAGCTCAGGAAAATTCTGGGATAAGAATTCTAGAAGGTAATGTCTTAATTTATTTTCCACCCCTGACAACTCTGAATACGACAATAACTGCCATCAAAGTCAGATTTAAGAAACTCTCTACCACATCCAAGTCCCCAGCTCCAAAACCAAATAATTCTGAAGCTAAGGGCCTAATGGATCATAGAATTCCAAGTCTTTCATAATTTCATGAAGTCCATATCTATGCTCTTCATGATCATTTCATTTATATATTTTAAACATCCTAAAAAATAGCCAAAGAAATATCCTCAAAGAATGTGACCTCAATCAACCAAAATGCAACATGCAACTGACAGATGAGATCCTTCAACGATATTGGTGTGACCACAGTGAAACTCACAGTTCCAATAAAAATTCCCTCCTCTTGCAATCATAAAGGTTGATACAGTAGGATCTTCTCAAAGTCTCCAATGTTTGCCGACATAAGAATCAAGCAATTCAAGCTAACCATTCTAGTTTTTGAAGATATATGCAGTGAGATTTGTGACTAACTAAAAGCAAGACATGAATTAAACTTGGAAACCCAACTCTAGTCAATAGATAAGTGTCCATCCCCTTCCCCTTATATGTCATTCAGAAAGGATCTAGCTGAGAAATAACCCTCGGTCCTAAACTCTTTAGCTCCTCTTTCTAATCAACCATCACACTCCTATAAGCAAAGGCACAAGGACACAATCACTTGTCACCTCCAAACTATCCAACTATCACCACAAAAGATACAAGTAGACTAGCTTTTGTCAAGAGCCTCCTCCGCACATCCCATATCAGAGCAAAACCTGAGTTTACTCACATCCTCAGTCCTAAATGCATTCCCTCTCTTTATCTTTTCTCCTACAGAGAAGATAGCCCACCAATGCCTTGAAAGATACAAGTAGACTAGCTTTTGTTAAGAGCCTCCTCCGCACATCCCATATCACAGCTAAACCTGAGTCTACTCACATCCTCAGTCCTAAATGCATTCCCTCTCTTTATCTTTTCTCCTATAGAGAAGATACCCCACTGATGCCTTGAAATCATGCTATGCTTTCCTGGATCCTTGATAATGCACCCATTTCTCATGATCGTACTTCCCTGCAACCAATCTAGCTTGGAGGGTCACTGGCTCAATGTTGCCACCAATCTAGGTTGGAGGGTCACTGGCTCAATGTTGCCACCAATCTAGCTTGGAGGGTCACTGGCTCAATGTTGAAATGCCAAAGACATTTGTCTAAAAGGTATTCTTATCCAAGTTATATATTTAAAGAGTATTCATGTCCATCAAGATGCCTGATCTGCAAACCATCATGGTTTCTTGGCACAGCCTCTTTAAAACCTCTGAATGGTATTCAATTTCCTGGCCACCCGCATTGCATCTCAAAAAGGAACATCAATATCATTATTGCAATAGGATATTAATTTTTTTATGAATAAAAATTGCAATAGGATATTATTCATGTACTACATTTAAGTTTTTAAAATTTCTCCTCATTTAATTACCTCAAATACAATATAATTAAAATTTTACATATTGTTTTGGGTGATATGATTTTGCACTGAATTTCCACCTGCACACTTGTCTAGGTTACAGGCATGCACATCCATTTCAAATAGCCAGATCAGATTTCCACAAAAAAATAGAAATGTCCAAGTCCTTGAAACTACTAAAATACATTAGTCAAGTAAAATGGTGTGCATGTCTGTGTGTGCACGTGTGTCTGTGTTTGTATTTATGTGTATGCATGTGTGTATAAAGCCAATACAAGTCAATGGCATGAAAAGACAAACGAAATTGACCATCATTTATAAGAACAAATCATTGTTAAGGCCTTCAAAGGATGATACATCAATCATCCTTGGAAAATCAGGTAACTTCAGGTTATTTGAACATAGTTTGGGGAATGGCAGTTATTACTAAAAATAGGAAGAAAGTATGAACAACAATTACTCTAATCCAAAATGAATCCATCGGGAGAAGTATGAATCATTCTGATCCCACGACAAAGCAAAAGGAAATCCAACTACAAAACACAAATTTCTCATTCACATCATGTAAGCTAATAAATTATGTGTAACAACTTCTGTTGATTTTTTTTCCCTCCCTATGGTTTCTCCTGTACCCACATATAAATAAGTATGCATTTGACTACATGATGTTATGTCATGGAATCTCTCTCAAATGTACACATATCTTAACTAGAACGCAAGTATATGGAAAGACATTCCAAAACTTTGTTCACTTTTCATATTCACTAAAAGAAACAGTTTTTAGATTGAAAGTACTTTGGATTGCTATTCATGTGCGCATGGTATGGACATTGTACTTGTGTTAGAATCAGATAGGAGTACAATGTCGGATGCCTCGTGCCATGAAGAACAAGATTTGGCAACATGGCTATATTTTAAAGAGAACAAAATACAATATTAGCTCATACAGATTTCTAAATTCATGTTTCCACCCAATTAAGAAAAGACCATCAAAGTCTATATCAATGATGTTATGGGTGTTGATACTCCTAAGGAATCACACCCAAACAAAAGAATCCATGTATCATAGATTAGTGATGACTTTTTATTCTTTATGGCATCAAATGCCCATAGTATCATAACTTGCATTGGTCACAATAAAATTGAAATCTATAAATTCGATTTCACTGTACAGGAGAAACAAGGAATGACAAATAGGAATAAATTCTTAACAAAAATTACTCCCCTTGTGGGACCTACTTGAAAATGGATATAAAAATGAAAAAGTAGGGACGTAGGAAATGCAATCAAGTGATCCAAAACAAAGAACAACATAAACAAACATCATCATAGTTAAAGCTTTTTTCCCAACTAATTGTGGTCGGCTACACGAATCCTAATCTGCCATTCTACTCTATTAAGGGCCATACTCTCAATGAGGCCACAAGTCTAAAAAAGGTGAGGCCCTTAAACTTTCCCTTAACCAATCCCATTCTTTGGTAAAGGGCCTGGGTTGTGTCAGGTAAGCAGCAAATGTAAAACTTTGCCAAACTAATCATGAATCTTGAAAAACATGATCAAACAATGCTAATAAAATGACATGAACATATATAAAGGAGGGAGAGACATCAAAAGACAAACCAAGATTGTCGCGGGACGGTGACTCGATGATCATTGTAAAGAAAATCGATATCCATGGTAGAAAAAATTTAACGAAGGATAACCCAAGTACTGAGTAGCTAAGCACACAGGAGTGAACAATGTTACTAGAATCCCATAGAGTTTCTGAATAATTTGGGTCATCAGTTAGAAACCCCATCCCAAAAGGCCAATGATTCAAAAAGCGGACAGCCCAGCACCTAGGCAGTCCGAAAGGCCTGGGCACATCGCCTAGGCCTAGGCGTAGGCGGCCAATCTGGGCGATCAATCCTTGGGCAGTCACCTAGGCTGTACGGAACCTGCCTAGGCGGGTGCCTAGCACCCAGGCCTGGGCGGCAGCTCATGGCCTACACCCCGCCCAAGGGCGGAAATTGATTTTGGTAGGGGCAATTTTGGTCATTTGTTTTTGTTTTTAAGGGCCAAAAATTAGGGTTTTAGGTTCATTTGAACCCTAAAACTTGTTGGAGCCAATTTTTGAGAGAGAAAGCCCCCAAAAATTTAGTTTTTGGTGAATTTTTTAGGATCGAAGGGTTTCTCAAAGTTAACAAAAATTGATCAAAACATCACCCATTTATATTAGATTTACTTTTTGATGTTTTGCAAAGTTATTAGGGGATTTTTTAGAAGATTTTAAGTATTTAGAAGCATCTTTGAGGTGGAAGTTTGAAGATTGAGCAATCAAACTCAAAGTCAGTGATTTTTTTTATTGCTTTAATAATTTGCATTATTTTTTAGATGTCTCCTTCAGGATCTAATAGAAGTGGTGATCCTGGTTGAAAATATGGCTATAACCTGGATCCTAATGATAAAAATTGCATAAGATGCAAGTTTTATGAAAATGATACAAAAAGAGGCATAAACCGGTTCAAGAAACATCTTGCCGATATTAGGGGGGGGGTGTTGCCCTATGTAAAAAGATTCCTGATGTTGTTAAAGAGGAAATAAACAATTTTTTAAACATGGTGAAAATGAAAAAAGATGAGAGATTTGCCTTTGTAGCAGAGATTAGGTCTGGGGTTTGGGTCAATTTTGATGATGATAATAGTGATAAAGAAAGGGAGGGATGTCAAGAGGTTGAGCAATCCATTATTAAGGGAAAGGGAAAGGAGTTGTAATTGCTTCTGGTTCTAGGACTAATAAGCTTCGGGTTAGATGCCCTATGGATAGCTTTTTACCTCTGCCTGACTCTGAGGTTGCAGGAGAGAAAATAAAAATGCAAACCACCATTAAAAATAGAATCAAGAAGGAAGAGAGAGATACAGTTGCGTATTATCTTGCTACATGGTTTTATGAGGCGGACATTCCTTTCAATATCGCTCGCTTAAGCAGCTTCTATGCTGTGATAGAGGCAGTTGGCCAATTTGGCCCTGAGATGAAACCCCTAACCCCATATGAGCTTTCAGAGCCTTTTTTAAAAAAAGCAGTGAGTACCACGAAGGAAGCTGTAGAACTTAAGAAGGCTGCATGGGCTCAGTATGGGATTTCTATTATGATTGATGCTTGAAGTGATAGGAAGAGAAGAAGTCAGATGAATTTGCTTGTGAATTGTCCTGCAGGGGCTGTCTTTTTGAGGTCTATTGATGCCTCTGATCATATCCATGATGCCCATTACATATTTCAAGTGATAGAGAAGAGAATCAAGGAGGTTGAGGACCATCTTGTTGTACAAATTGTCACAGACAATGCTGCTCCTAATGTTGTTGCACTTTGTTGCGCATAGCGTATCCTAGAATCTTTTGGACACCATGTATAACACATTGTATAGACCTCATGCTTGAGGCTCTTGGCGGTTTAACCGAGATATCAGGTGTAGTGAAGAAGGCCCAGTTAGTTACAAATTTCATTTATAACCACCATCTCACCCTCAGCATGATGCGTACCTTTACAAAGAAGAAAGAGATTGTGAGGCCTGGGGCCATGAGATTTGCGACCTGGTACTTATGTCTAGATAGATACATTTGAGGATAGTGCAGTTGAGGCAAATGTTTATCTCGGATGAGTGGAGAGCATGTAAATGGTCTAAGGATCAGGTTGGGAAGAGGGTGAGAGATATTATACTTTCTAAGGGTTTTTGGAGAGCAGTGAAGGGTGCTCTTAAGGTATTTTTTCCTATTGTCAAAGTCCTTCGCATGGTTGATAGTGACAAGCCTTCTATGGGCTACATATATGATGCTATGGAGAAATGCAAAAGAGAGATAGACCAAAATTTCAATGATGAAGAAACCCGCTACACGCCTGTTTGGGAGATTATTGATGAGAAGTGGGATAAGCAGCTACATCAACCATTGCATGCAATTGGTTATTATTTGAACCCAGCTTTTTTTTATATTGACAAGGATATACAAACAAATGACACAATTATGAATGGATTTAATGAGTGTATAGAGGTGCTAGTCCCTGATCCTGATATGCAGGATATTATATGCGTTGATGAGCTGATAAATTACAAGTGCTCATTAAAGCCCTTTGGTAGTCCAATAGCAATGAGGCAAAAGACCAAAATTAATCCAGGTATTAATAATATTCTTAAGTTTATCTTCATCAAGTTCAAGTAATCAAGTAATTTTATTATTTATTTATGATTTTTTTCATATCTCTGCAGCCCATTGGTGGAGCCAACATGGGTGTAGTTCTCCAAATTTACAAAAGTTGGTCATTCGGATCTTAAACCTAACCACTGCATCCGGTTGTGAGCGTAATTGGAGTACTTTTGAAGGGGTAAGGCCATAAGGGTAATTTGTAGAATTTTATAAATAATACATGAACCATAGATATTAGATTTTAATTAGTTTCATTTGACTTTGTTCGATTCATACAAAGAAAAAGAATAGGCTTGAATCAAAGAGGCTCAATGACCTCGTCTATGTCAAGTACAATCGATTCTTGAAGGACAGGTTTACTAAGAGAGATAAAAGAGACCCCATTAGATCAAAAAATATAGACCATGTTATGGAGTGGCTAGTTGATGATGATGAGGTCGAGGGGCATGAAGGATTGACATGGGACATGGTCATGGATGCTTCAGGGACATTAGCTGACCCTCCTAGAACCACTAGATCTTCTGTACAGAGAACAAGGATGGAGGACGAGAAGGAAGAAGAGGCTGATTCAGAAGAGATGGAGGAGGACGGGGACGACCAATATGTCAAGGAAGGTGACAACTCCGTCGACTCCGATGAATATGATGCCAAAGCAGCTGACCCAAGATTTTCTGATGATAAATGAATGATGAATGTTGATTATTGAATAA